TTATTTGTGTAAAGAATTTTAACTAAAATCCGAACCCAAAGAAATCAGTTCATCAAAGAGATGAATCAAAACGTAATTTGTATCTCCTAAAATCATCCACAATCATGTGTCATTTTGTATTTCTTTGGAATATTCTCTATTTACACACAATTATAAATTTTAGAAGGATTAAATCACAGTAGATAAGCAGAGATTATAGTTTGTGGTTACTATACTGGAGCTGGCGAGCTATCACTCTCATTTGAAACTTGTTGGTTTAAAATGAAACATCTATTCTATTTATAGACATTCTCCTTTGAATGAATGCATTACAATAGATCTACCATCTAAAACTATCGACAATCCTTTGTCATTTTATATTTTTCTATCTACACAACTACAATTCTCTGAAATTCTCTCCTACTCTTCGAATAATTCTAAAAGACTCTACCACCTATAATTTCTGAACTTGTCGAGAAGATGGAATATAGAGTCTGCTCAAATCTCGTATCTTAGTCTAAGTAAACCGTCTCTAATAGATTTGATAATATACTACCTATAAAAGAAAGAAAAGCATATGCCATTTGTAAAAGGTTTGCCCTAATCACGTGTATAAATAAACTATATCAATTGATGAAAGTACAACAGAAAATTATACATTCATTTAGAAGCCAATAAAATATCTCTATCAATTTCATATATTAAAAATTATCATCAAATACCAAAAGGAAGTACCAATTAATTGACATTAAGTGAGGATTGGCTAAAGTGTCAAATGGGAAAGAAAATGAAATTTGTTTAGAAGAATTGTATGACTAGCCATACATGATGAAATGGATTGAAGAGATGATCTCACTTTGTTGCATCGGCAGGCCTTGGGTGGTTTGGCTGGTCACTTCAACTTATTCAATCGGACCAAAAATTATTTTCCAAATCCAGGATGTGGATTATAAAGAATCTACTGCCCTGAAATATTTGAGACATTGGGACAATGTTTAGATAAACAAAAAATATATATAATAAATAAAGAAATAAATGAAAAAAAAAAAAAAAAAAAAACAAAGCAAAACACAATGAAGAAAAAGTTCTGGGATTATTACATTATTATTTCAAGAACTTCAAAGAGAGAGATATCCTGATTGAAACTTGCTCATAAAGTGGCCTTTTAGATTAGAAAAAAAAGCAAGTAGTGGGATAGTGGAGGAGGTGGAACTAATTAGAAAATCAAAGCCAAAGGGAGAGAAAGGCACTAAAGAAAAATCTTCATCCAAAGCTCTTCTATTAACTTTGTCGATCTCATTGAGCAATTAATCGAAAACAATGACAGCTCTAGAAGCTCACAAATCAAAGTCAGAATAAGTACCCTCCTCTTTTTTGCAGTATATTCAGAAAAGATTGGCATAAAGTTGAAACAGAAATCCACCTTTGTTCATAATTATACTAATACAAAATGCTTTGCTATATAGCTAGAGTCTTTGACACTTTCTTCTATTAATGCACAAATGTAACTATCATAGATGGTGTGCAGACTTCTTAAACTGCTTGATATTTTCCTAATCATCCCAAAATCCTAGCATGCTACCGACCAAGTTAATTCGTATGCTTCACTACGAGATCCATCTCAATATATATATATAGCAATTCTTGTGAGGTTGTGGCCAAAATTTTGTTGTGATTTTGTGGATTTGGATTGTAAACTCTATTGTAGCCTATTATATAGGCGCGTCTATGGTGCGGGAAGGGTGGTTTGAGGTTTCGGGTTGAAACTCGTAATTTCCTGTTATTCACGTGGTAAAACTTTTTGTTAGATATTCAACATAAAAGTAAGCATTACACCAAATTATGTAAAGCTTTGTGTCTTTGTATGGTGTATAATTTTTGTCAATTGAAATCTATTAGTTCACAACTTCACATTGTTTGTTCTTTTAACAATTCCTGTGTGAATTGGATATTACCAACCTATTTAGTAGAGAGTTCAGCTCAATGAATTTGTTCAAGTCCTCTCCCACTAATTTGCTATTAAAAAAAAACATTCCCGATGTGAATTGAAGGAGCCGGAATCCTCTATGGTGTACTGCACATTGAAATATACCCACCAACAAATGAGTGTGATCGTGTAAACTACATGTGTGAGTGATCACAATATCTATTACGATACAACACTTATCGTACTCAATTCTAACCTAAATCAAAGATGATTTTAGAAAGATGAATTCCCTCTACATGTGTGAATAATCACAATACGATGCAACACCGTGCTGTTAACTTAATCAATCATAACCTAAATCAAAGATGGTTTTAGAAGGATGGATTCCCTCTGACCCAATCTTTCGACTTGCATGCCTCTACAAGACAAAGAGGCCTTACTTTATGGATTATGGAATTATGTAATGACCCACGCAAAGAATGTGCCATGTTTTGCTGTAATCAAATCCTTTAGCTAACCCACCGACTATCATGAAACCCCACAGAACAATTTGACTCTCTTGTAAGTTCATAACCCATATATACATACACTCCTGTTTCATTGTTTTTATGCTCATCAGCTTCTTATAATCCAAAATAATACTTGAAGCGAAAGCTAGTTACTGATCAGTACTTGCCATGACCCATAAAGCCAAACACAGAAAGAAATCACTTTGCAAGAAATCCATGCAAATGATTGTGAGCATAATCAAATTTTCTTCTCTTTCTCTTGCAAGTATGAACTTGAGAACGATTGTTCCTCCATCACTGCCTGACAGAATCCGTCCGGTGATAAAGGGCACAGTCACCGGCATGGATGCCTCACTGGCAGCTCAATTTCGTAGGAGTCAGAGGTCACAGGAGCCGGAAAGCGATTCCAAGTCTCGGTCTTACTTGATGGATCCAGGCAAGGAGGAGGAGAACTCTTCCTATATGATGTGTGGAGTTAACAATACTACTACTAGTGAAGAAAGTTTTTCGGAGTATATTAAGAGGTTTCATGAAAAGAACCAACACGATTCAATTGGGGTGTCCAAAAGCTCGCCATTTATATTGCCTCCACCACCTTCTCAAGCCAAGTAATTAATTAACTAGCCACCTCCATTATTTGGAATTTCTGTTTCATCATGCACTCATTTTCATATACTTGGCCCTCTGCTATTATATATAGTTATGCTCGTATGTTGAAAAGTTAAGAGAATTATAACTTCTCGAAGGTAAAGCTGTGTACATCTAATCCTCATTAAATTCTGTATAGCAAGAGCTCGTGCACCGAACTAGTTCAAGTGTTAATGATCTAGACATTAGCTTTATGGGGTTGTGTGTTAGCTTGAAAAGTTAGTAAAATAAATAAAAGAAAAAGAACATGATATGTAAGAAAATGTGTTTTAGCTTTTGAGCACATGCAAGTTACACTTCTCTTTATCCTCCACTACATATCATGCATGTATATTGGTTTTTTATTGAAAATGTGTTATATATAGCTTTTGAACATAAGTGAGACTTCTCTTTAATCTTTATGTACTTGATTTTGCAATCAAAATCAATTAAACTGATCATATCCAAGTTGGATGTTTCTGACAAGTGTATGCTTAAAGTTCTTTATTGTAAAGCATGCTTTCTGCAGGAAATAGTTTTTCAAATATTATTGTTGTATGTGGTATGTTGAAAAGACTGAGGCTGTGTTCGGTGTGTGGAATTGAAGGTTTGGAATTGGAATTTGTAGAATTAGAGAAAATTTTGATCAATTTTGTTAATTGTCTTTTTCCAATTCCATAAATTTCAATTCCAAAGCTCCAATTCCACAAATTTCAATTCCATGCAAACGAACACAACGTGAAAAAGTTACATGCTTGAATCTATTCAAGTTAATCATTTTCTTAGATGGAGTGATCTTTATATCGATGAATGCTCACACTTATGGAATTTTGGTTAGGAATGAGGAAGATTTATATGGAATTTTGGTTGGTGTTAGCGTGTGATAAGGTTCTTTCTTCTTCACTTAGTCGAATTTTATTCGAGATGTGTAGCATTGATCTAACCATACCAACCATACCTGCGAGAATCCTACGGACAACCAAAAAATTAACATGGTTAATGTTACTAATATTGACATTGTGATCAAGTGGCCTAGTGCACCAACAGACAAGAAAACTATAATAAATTCAAAGAAAGGGACTGATCACAATTTCACAGAAACAGATACTTTGTTTATTACTCAGTATTGGTTTCCTGTCGCTTAACATTTATTTCTATGCAATTCTTCAATATTCTAAGCTCTCAGATAAAGTTTTTTTGCAATCACAAAACAATATATATATATATATATATATATATATATATTTTTTGCAGAGTAGGGTATGCAGATGATGAGTCTTCCTAGTTATTTTGCTCAATTTTATGGTTATGCATTTGAATTTTTCAATAAAAGGCTTTGATCTACATGCATGGGACATGTCTCCTGTATGGCTAAAAGGTATAGGCCATATGCAAAGGTGGTCTTCCTGACATAAGCGGTGCGGGAGAAACATGGTAACACCCGAAACAAAACTGAACCAGGATTTCCTCTTTGTTGAGGGGCCAAAAACTGCAATTCCAATGAAGAGTTGAAGCTCAAGCTACCACACTCTGAACTCACTTGGTGGTTGTCTGGGAACAGTGGCTAGGAACAGTCGCAACCTATGAGCTCAATTTGCAGAAGTAATAGAAATAAAGAACACAAATTTAAAAAGCTAAGACCGCAAAAGTTGATTCCCCAAATGTAAGTATGCTGCCAAAAAAAAAAGCAATGATTACTCCCTCTGTTTCAAAATAGATAGGCACTCCAAAAACTGTGATAGATGTGCGGAAACTGTGATTCCAAAAACTGTGATAGATGTGCGGAAACTGTGACTCAAAATGTCCTACCCCACGGTCCAACATGATCGGAAGCACCCTTTTCCTCGGTACTGCCACCAGGAAAGAAAATTTTCAAGTTCTAAAGTAATCCTAAGTACAACCAAAAAGTCCAAAATGGGCAATAAAATCACAACATCAATTGCATCACACACAGAGAATATCCAAAACAGAGATATTTTTCAAAGATGAAGTTGAAAAAGAACCAAAAGGAGACCACATAACAAAGAGTACCAGGTGCTGAAATCACCACACCACATTAAAGGACCAGTCATAATAAACATGAACCCCAACCCACTGGAAAAGACAGGACATCTTTCATAAATATTTGTCTCTAACCCTGTACAATAAAAGGAATCACCTAATAATCTAATAACCTAATCTTTATGTCTAAATCCCAACCTAACTAATCCAAACTTTAATCTTCAACCCCCTTTACAAACCCAGCAGTGATTATTATTATATTCCATCAAGCAACACTAATGATGCTATCCCCACTACTGCTCTTGAAGCTGCTCCCGGACATTGCCTGAAAACCCGACCCGTGTCTTGCAGGCTGATCGGACGACGATGATGGTGATGCAGGGAGCTTCAGGGATAGAGACAAGGGGTCGGTGGTGGATGTGTTGTTGTTCAAGTTGAGTTCTGCCATTTTTGAGGATGGAGGTACGGGAGGAGTGGGAATTGACCGGACCAGCTTGGGTGAAATGTTCGCTTCATTGCTTTGAAGTAATGTGAGACCCTCTGTGCAGTTCTCATTGATGATGGGTAACCCGACTGGACTGAGTGTCACCGGAAAAGCCGACACCGGATATCCTCCAAGATTGTTGGATACATGTGGCTGCAGTGGTGGTTGGTGTGGTATGGCTTCTTGGTGACCTTGATCTTCTTCCATAGCCATAGCGCTACCCCTAAACTGTCAATTGCAAAACAATACAAAACCACAGTGAGAAAGAAAAATAAAATGTAATCTAAAATAGTTTGATCATGACAACAATGTTAATGATGACTGTCTCGTGATTCCATTCGGTAGATTAATTTCATCAATGTTAATGATGAATTTTAACATAATGGTTCGAAATTTTACTTATTTGAATTTGGTTACTTTTATGACAACCATGAACCGGATGAACAAATGGATTTTGACATCACAACAAATCGAGTCAATAATTATAATTACAACAAATCGAGTCAATAAATTATAATTTGAGACACTTTGAAGACAAGCATGACAGTCAAAACATATGAATTTAGATTTAGATTGTGAATAAGTGAAGAAAACATGCTGATAACTAAAAAACTGAATTGGTTGACAAATTTCTAAAATTACTTTATATATTAAAAATTGTTTGTTTTCTTTGGGTCGAGAAAATTCTGTGTTTTGAGTCATTTCTTAACTTCATTATTAAATTATTCTAAGAAATTAAACCAAAACTAAATTGGTTGCCAAATTTCTAAAATTACTTTATATATTAAAAATTGTTTGTTCTTTGGGTCAAGAAAATTCTGTGTTTTGAGTCATTTATTAACTTCATTATTAAATTATTCTAAGAAAGAAAATAAATGACAAAGAAGAATTACCGCAGAATCGGTGGTGATGTCGAACAGACTAGATCTCCGGCGCCTCCTGTTATGGTTGTTTCGACGGAGAAAATACTTCTGAGCATGGCTTGCCACTTGAGTAGGTGTACGCGTCTTCACGAAGTTCCTCGAAATCCCTCTCCAATCGCCTTTCCCTACCTTCTGCAACCCTAACAAGAAAAGCCTGTGCTCCTCCTCCGTCCACGGTACTCCTATATATTTATACACACACAAACACAATCAACAAACAAATCAATCGGCTAAAAAACTCTCACACACATATATACAAACACATGGTGTGTGTGTATATATATAGTTATGTATTGCTGGATGTGTCCGTATATAGATTATAGAGTACCTCTCTTGCGCTCACCACTCCTGGCGGAGGCGTGAACGATGTCGTCGGAGGCGTAACCGGCGTTGACATCGGCGGTGGAGTCCTGAGTCTGCTCGTACTGGGCCAGATTGGTCATGCTCGCGCTCTTCCTGAACGATCCCTCCGTGACTCGGACACCGAATAGCATGATGCCGTTGGCGGCGGCGGCGGAGGCGACCGCGCCACCATTTCCTCCGCCGCTGCCGTCTGGGCAGGTGCGGGAGTTGTGGCCGTTGTGTCCGCACTGCGAGCACACGCGAGACATGGTGGTGGTGGTCGTCGTTATCTTGCCTTCAGGGTTTGAAGAAACTGGTATTTGAATCCGTATAATGAAGTCTCAGCTCAATGACAACCAAGAGAACTCCTCTCTCTCTCTACTGGAAAAGGACGAGAAGGGCCACTTTGGCTGATATACTACTCCGTAGTAATTAGGGTTTTGTTTATTCAATATTTATTATATATAAACTTTATATATTGTTTTTTGAGTTGTGTTAAATAAAATAAAATAAATAAATAAATATTGAAGATTTAAGGGATAAATTAGTGGAGGAAATTTTTTTAGTAATTGATATTGTTTCTTATTATTGAAGATTTGGTGTTTCTAAAAATTAATGGAAAAAAATCCTCTTTATTTTTTATTTTGTAAAAGTGATGTAACCGTGAATATAGACTATAATAGTTGAACCACGTAATATCTTACTTTTGTTTTATACTTTATAACAATAAAAATAAATGAATAATATTTAGGTGAGATCTACACCATACTCACTGTTGATGTAACTAATAATAAATGAACACCCACTAACCAAAATAAAGATGGTGATTTGATTATCGTTTATGATTTGATAATTAAAATAAGGACAATACTTAGATCAACCATCACAACATACTCATCACTAATGTGGACCAATAATAAATGGACACGTCATATTTTAATTACCAAATCATAAATGGTAATCAAATCACTATCTCTGATTTGGTAATTGAATATTTATCCACCATCTTTGATTTGTTAATTAAAGATGATATGTCCATTTATTATTGGTTCATATCAGCGGTGAATATATTGCAGATCTCACTAAGGAGGGCCTAAGCATTTTCCATAAATTAAAACGTATACATTTATTATTGATCCACATTAATGCCCAATATAGTAGTATTGTTGAATTTAAATATTATTATTTGAGTCATTTTATTTATCTATATAACACACATGTTTTTCATGTTTCAGACTTCACCCCATCTGCAGCCCGGCGCTCTTGTTCAGCATAACCAATTGTGCGCAAATTAATTTTTTAGAGGCTTCAAATTTAAAGTTAGGAGCTCAGGTCTCTTTGGTACATGAGTTTTTATTTTGATTGAATAGTGTAACAATGAATGGTGAATAAAATACGTTTAGTGAGAAAAACTGTTTTGCTTTGTATAATATCGAAACGTTTCGTGAATAGTGGTCAAAAATCAAAACACCGACTTGATATTTTTATATATTTTCACGTCTTAAATGACATTTTAAAACTAATCATTATATTTTTTAAACTTACAATATTTTTTATTAAATATATTTTTAAATATATTTAATAAAAAATGGACGCTACCAAATATTTTTTATATTATTATTTAAAATAATTTACAACAAAACACTTGTTCTGTTGCAAGTTAAAATTAAAATGAGTACCAAGTGGACCATAACACAATAGCATTACATTAACCGGTATCAAATGACCAAATTATAGTTTAAAATTGTTTAAATATATAAAATTATATTTATTTTTTTAGCATAGTAATTGGTCAGATGTTAGATTAGAAGTTAAAAGGAATAGTTGAAGTTAGAGAAGGCGGCTCAAACCTCAACACTCCAAACCGTGGAGCTTCCCAGTAACTAGGACACAATGCATTAAGCATGCCTATTTAAAATTATAATTTAAAAAAACCATAAAAACCATTAAATAATTTCATACTTCAAGTCAAACCCAATTCATTTTAGATTCTAAATATGAAAATAAATTACAGTCAATGTTGACAATCATAACATTACTGTTACATAGAAATTATCATCTTTGTTTCAAAAGTTTAAATATTAATGAGTATATAATATTTAGAGATTATATCAAAGTTAGTATCCTCCACCATATTCAACCTTTGAAAAATGAATAAATCATGAACATGACAAGATGAGTTGGCACGGACTTAGTGAAAACAATTGTCCCCGAAATACTACTTTCGTTTCTATTTAGTTGGCACGGACTTAGTAACGGTTCAGCGAAAGCAAATGTCCTTATTAAAATATTACTTTCGTTCCTATTTAATTATTCATCTCGTAAATTATGACTCATTATAAATTATAACTCACAATGAGTCACAATTTACGAAATGGACAACTAAATAGGGATGAAGGGAGTATATATATATATATATATATATATATATATTGCTATTTTATGCCTATTAATTTTTTTTTCAAACCTACTTATTTTATTTTAATTGGTAGATGATATATACAACAAATAAGGGACTGTGACCCTCCACTTTCTTGTATTATCATACATAATTAATAAAAAAAACTCTTAATTAGGTAATTCACTACAATAAATCGTTGCACCTATTTATTACATTGAATTTTATATATATATATATGCAACAAATAAAGAAGTGGACCTTACACTTACTTGTATTATGCATAAATAAACAATTAGAAACTTTCAGTTAGGTAATTCATAACAAAAAACCGTGCAACTATCCGTATTCTTTTAAAAAATAATTATTGTACCGATTTATTATATTAAATTATCAAACTTGCTTATTTTAATTGATTTATATATACAATAAATAAGGGAACGAAACCTCGCTTATTTTTATTGTGCAATCAAAAGGTTAGATAATCCTAAAAGTATCACTGTTCATTTTGATTTGATTCCTGGGTCAACATCGTCGACAATATTTATGGATATAGAATGAATAATCATGATTGAATAATTGTAGATGACGCTTCACTAATCCACAACACTGATTTAACGCGGGACCAAATATCAAATTGATTTGATTCAAGGTAATTAATAAATTTAATTTGGGTATGATGAGAAAGTTAAGTTTGGTCAGAAATGTTTGCTTATTAATGGAATGTACTAAGATAAATAAATATATATATATATATATATATATATATAGTAAAAAAAAAAAAGGGATGGTGGAGGAGGAGAGTGACTCTCCATCGTCAAATTGGCATATTCTCTGCTCCTCTGGGAAAGATTTCATTGTCTGTATTGCCTGCTCCTTCTTTATTTAATGACCTTTGGTGGTGGGTGCGATTGTGTGAGGATGAGTGGTTTGTGGACCCACCATAATCCCAAACCATTTGTACTACTTTCTTCTCATTATCTCTTTCCATGTGGATGCCTTTTCATGACCCTAGCTTTTTTTTTTTTTTTTTATTTCTTTATTTGCACATTTCGTTCCATGAGCTTTTCTTTCAATAATTCCAATTCTTCAAGTCGACATTATTTAAATTTTCATAATTATTTATTTCACATTTAAATGGATATATATTGGTAGCTTAATTTTTTTTTTTCAAAAGTTGAGAATATTAATAAAATAAAATAAAATAAAATAGTGATACTCACAGACCGAACATTTATAGTGAATTGCTTAATTGAATAATTTTTAATTGACTATTTATATCAAATATAACTAAATAGAGAACTTTACTTTTTTATTTGTTATATAATTGACCAATTAAAAAAGTAAGTTTAGCAATTCAATAAAATTATTCAGTTGCAAGAATTATTTTCTTAAAAAAAATATATACAATAATCTTTTTAGATCTGACTTTTTGGTCTTTTTAAAATTCACTAAATGATACGGGAAAATTAAATAGAAAGAAGATTGATTAGTTAACCGTCCATTGATAAAGTTGTCATTGTCCAAATTTTTTTTTTCCTTTTGTCTCTATCTTTAATTCATAAAAAATAATTTAGATTACTAATACGTTTTAGTAAGACTTACAAAATAATAAACACTTTTTTTATTAAGTTTGAATTTTTAAAAGTAAGACAAAAAAATTCAAAAGAGTCATAAATAATTTATTTCACAAATCATCTTTAATTTCCATGGATAAGTGACTATAAATGATAACTTTATAAAATTTTAGGAGGTAAACTTTACATTTCTTATACAAAATTACCATTAATAACCATGAATAATTATTGAAAAATATTTTGGGGGGCCAATTTTAATATTCTATACAAAATTACCATTAATAATCATTAATATACTATACATTATTACTACTAATAAATAATTTATTTCACAAACCATCTTTAATTTCCACATATAAGTAACTATAAATGAGAATTTTATAAAATTTTAGGAGTCAACTTTAATTTTCTTATCCAAAATTACAATTAATAACCATGAATAATTAGTGAAAAACATTTTGGGGGGCGAAATTTAATATTCTATACAAAATTACCAATAATAATCATTAATAACTTATACATTAAGAATTTGAGCACTAAATTTATCGAACGAGACAAATGTTACTAAACCACCTATGATGGTTAATCACTATTTGCTTATTATAATTTTACTGCCATTTTCTATAAAAAGATACTAATAATGGTAATATTAATATTGTATGTGAAATGTTTTTGTTTTTGTTTTTTAATTATTGAGCTGTTATATAGAGAAATTGAGAAGCACTGGCATTTTAGAAAAGCTCATTTGGATCACGTGGTTTTTCCTTCGTCTTGCTCCGTCCTGCCGCGTAGGACGTCTAGTGAACTATTATGTGTGGGCCCACAACTTGTATACTATTATTGTAGTGCTCATTGTGTAGTCAGTTGTCTACATTGTTTGGCTACTTTCGATTCACACGAAGTTGTGTGGCGGCTAATATTCCACTTTTCTTTTTTTCTTTTTTCTTTTTAATTATTTATTTATCATTATATTTAATTTAGAATTGCAAAGAAGCTGAGTTTTAGGTTGTTCGGCAGAAACTCGTTTGTTTATGGCTGAACTTGGACTCATGACTAGCTCAAATAATTCAGCCCAGACTCGGCTCGTTTAAGAAATTAAATTAAATTCATGTTTAAAATTTTTATTTTATACTTTCAAAAATTAAATAATTTCAACAAAAAAATAAAAAATACAAATGTAAACAAGCCTCTAACAAATCTATTATTGGTCATGAACATGAACAAGGCTTATGTGTAGGGGTAGAGCACATGCCCCCCCCCCAGCCCCTGTATTATTATAGCTATTTTCTTAATTTTTTTACATATATATGAAAATTTGTTTGTAATGACCCCCTAAAATAATTTTAGTTTTTAAAATTCTCTTTAATTTATCCTTATTTTCTTCTTTCTCTCTTTAAATTTCTTTTTCTTTTTAAAGTTGTGACATTCTTCTTTCATTTTTCTTCTTCTCCTGTTACC